GGCAAATCCCCTGTGTTTTTGGACCCTGACCCCGCGGATCTGCGTGAGGGGTGGCACCGAATTTCAGAAATGTGGCAAATCCCCTGTGTTTTTGGACCCTGACCCCGCGGATCTGCGTGAGGGGTGTCCATTTCGAGCCCCCCCAGCAATTCAGACAACGCGCCCAGGAGACGCCAAAAAATCTGGTTTGGGCCTCCCCCCCCCTCGCGCGGTCAATCAACTAGTTACAGTAACCAGCAAGAAGCAGAACTGTAACACTGGAAACTACAAGCTACAACTGGCACAGGAAACTGCGAACCCGCGCCTACAGCCTGGTGGCCCCACAAGGGGGCCGGCGGATATTAAAGAGATTTTCTGTGTGTGCTTGTGTTTGTGTTTGTCGTTGTGGTTGTGTGTGTTGTTGTGTGGTTGTGTGTGTGCTTATGTGGTTGTGTGGTTGTGGTTGTGGTTGTGTTTGTGTTTGTGTTTGTCGTTGTGGTTGTGTGTGTTTGTTTGTGTTTGTGTTGTGCGTGTGTGTGCGTGTGCGTGTGCGTGTGCGTGTGTGTGCGTGTGTGCGTGTGTGCGTGTGTGCGTGTGTGCGTGTGTGTGCGTGTGTGCGTGTGTGCGTGTGTGCGTGTGTGCGTGCGGTCTCTTAGGGCCCTCTTGACAGGCCTCTTCGAAGCCTCCTAAGACGTCTTGGAGGCATCTTCGGCTGTCTGGAGGCCATCTTGGGCGTCTAGGGACGATGTTTCGGCGACCCGGGCCCTCTTGGACCGTCTTGGAGGTATCTTGGAGCCCTCGTGGCCCATTTTGAGGCCTTCGATGCCACCTCGGCAGAATTTCTGGAACAGAGTACACCCCCCAGGGCCGCCCAGGGAGACCCCCCCTTCTAAATCGACCGGACCGGGTTCCTGGGAGAGGGCTTCGGGGAGGTGGAAGCATCTCACGCGCCGATGAACCCGAAGGGGCCGGCGGATTGTTCAAAACGATTCTGGCTACAAGAGGCTTTCAAGAGGGCCCCAAGCGGCCACAATCAGTGAAAAGCCAAAGGGGAACCATGCGTTTTTGAAGATCTCGTTTTCTCGTTTCCGATAGGGTTTCTCAGGCTTCTGTGTGGTCGTCAAATGGCTCAAGCCTGCCCCAGGAGGAACCGCACAAGGCGCCAAAGCGGCCCCCAAAGCGCCCCTAAGTCCCGCATGACGGCCCCAAAGACCTCCCACAGGGCACCCCAGACGGTTTCTGAAAGTGGCAAACGGGCCAAGAGTAATCCAGAGGAGCGCGAGGGAGTCCCAAGACGGTCCACCAGGGCCCTTGGGACCCTTCAAGATGGTTCCGAGACGGCCCAAGATGGCTTCGAAACGACTTCCGAGGCCGCCAAGGCAGCTGAAGATGGCACCCAGACCCCAAAAGGCCTAGAGGACTCCAGGAAGCCTAAATCCGCAAACACACAGGCAGAAAACGATGGGTTTCAGAAGACCTCGCCTCTTGCCATCCGATGTGCGTCTGAGGCTTCAGGATGGTCCAACAATGGCTCCACGGGCACCCGAGAGCAGGAAGAACGCAGGAGAAGAGAGAAGAGCGAGAAGGGAGTGACACCGTGTGGAAGGGAGGCGCCAGAGGAAGGAGGAAGTATAGTGGAGAGGAGACGGGACAGTCTGGGGAGGGCGATTGATGGGAGAAGAGTGCGAAACATATTTGAAACGGTCCGAAACGCTTGCAAGACAGACGTGGCGATACGCACCCGCTTTGTCGAGACGATGATTTGCGTTGAATAAGAACCTAAGCGCATATAGGATCACAGGAGGCTCCCGACCCCGTTATCGATCGAGGGTCCGACGTGGGGGCGGCGAGACAATTTGTTTTTCGAGCGGACACGCATGATATACATGTATTATCTTGCACAGGGTGCCTAGAGCTCCGACCACTTTATTTCGGCGTCGTCGCACCGCCCTCACGCATTGATTTCATGTCAGCGTCGCACCGCCCCGACCGCACCGCACCGCCCCCTCCGCCGCGACCACTTTATTTCGCCGTCGTCGCACCGCGCTCCCTCCCCCCCGTCGCACCGCCCTGACCCCCTCTCTGCCCCCTCCCCCTTCCCCAGCAGCCCAGCGCACCGCTCCCTCCGCCGCGACCACTGTATTTCGGCGTCGTCGCACCACCACCCCCTGCCCTGGCGCACCGCCATCCCCCCCCCCGCCCTCCCCTTCCCCAGCAGCCCTGCGCACCGCTCCCTCCGCCGCGACCATGTTATTTCGGCGTCGTCGCACCGCCCTCACCCCCCTCCGTAGCAACGCCCTCACACCGCCACCGCCCTCATCACCTCCAGTCGCCCCCCCCCCTCCCCAGCCGCCCAGCGCACCGCCCCCCGCCGCGACCACTTTATTTCGGCGTCGTCACTCCGCCCTCACCCCCCGTCGCACCGCCCTCACCCCCCCCCGCCGCCCCCCCCGTCCCCAGCCCAGCGCACCGCCCCCTCCGCCGCGACCACTTTATTTCGGCGTCGTCGCACCGCCCTCACCCCCCCCCGTCGCACCGCCCTTACTCCCCCCGCCCCCCCCCCCCCTCCCTAGCAGCCCAGCGCACCCCCCCTCCGCCGCGACCACTTTATTTCGGCGTCGTGGCACCGCCCTCACCCCAGCGTTGCCCAGCATCGTTGACTTCACGTCAGCGTCGCATCGCCCCGACCGCACCGCCCCGCCCCGCCTACCCGCCCTCCCCCCCGCTCTCCCCAGCAGCCCAGCGCACCGCCCCCTCCGCCGCGACCACTTTATTTCGGCGTCGTCGCACCGCCCCCACCCCCCCGTCGCGCCGCCCTCCCCGCCGCCCCTCCGTGTCCCCAGCAGCCCAGCGCCCTCCTCCTCCGCCGCGACCACTTTATTTCGGCGTCGTCGCACCGCCCTCACCCCCCCCGACCCCTCCTCCCGAGCAGCCCAGTGCCCTTCGGCGTCGCACCGCCCCCTCCGCCCCGACAATTTTATTACCTTGCACAGGGTGTCTAGAGCTCCGACCACTTTATTCCGCGTCGCCCCCCCCCCTTCCCCGCGTCCCCAACGCCAGAGTGGGACCCCCGCGCCGTGCCCTTCTGCCCCGAGCCCCCCCGCGTCCCCAGCGCCCCAGCGGGAGCCCCGCCCACTGCCCCCTCCGCCACGAACGCTTTATTCCGCGTCGCCCCCCAGCGCCCCAGCGGGGGCTCCGCCCCGTGCCGCCCCGACAATTTTTTTCCGCGTCGCGACGCACACCACCCCCCCCAATCTCCCCCCCCGCGCCCCCAGCGCCCCGGGTAGGAGCCCAGCCGAGTCACCCCGACCCCCCCCGCGCCCCCAGCGCTCTAGAATGAGCCCCGCCCACAGCCCCCTCCGCCACGAACGCTTTATTCCGCGTCGCCCCCCAGCGCCCCAGCGGGGGCTCCGCCCCGTGCCGCCCCGACAATTTTATTGAATCGCTTCGCTCATTCCGCCGGCCCGTGATATGGCATCGCTGGTTTTTGTCTGTGTGTTCGTTGCCCATGTTGCGCTCTTGGGGGCGGGTGTCGTTCGGACGCGTTGCGTGGGGAGTTTTGATGGTGAAGCAGTTCCCTGGGGGTCGTCTCTCGATGGGGCGAAATAGAGTCGTCGTCAAGATGCTTCTTTGGGGGGCCTCTTGGGGTCTGTTGAGAGGCCGTTCGGGGGCGCCTGGGAGACATGTTTGAAGCCTTCTGGGGCTTCTTTTGGGCCTCCTGGGAGTCTCCTGGGGCCTCTTGGCGACATCTTGGGGCCTCTTGGAGGCCTCTTGGGGCCTCTTTGGGACCTCCTGGGCGCCTTCTGGGACGGAGGGCTCCATTTTTGAGTTCTCGGTATCCCTCCTGAGTCCCTCTTGGGCCCGTCTTGGGGCCTCTTGGTCCGTCTTGGGCGGCACTTGGGCCGTCTTGAGGGCTCTCTTGGGTCGTTTCGGCGCCGTCTTGGGAGCTTCGTGGGCCGTCTTGGAGCGGTCTTGGGGGCCTCTTGGGCCGTCTTGGAGCGTCCGGAAGCCGAAAAAGCCAGAACACAAAAAACATCTAAAAAACCAATGAAAATCAACGATTTTGGCCTCTTGGGGCTCTCTTCGGAGGCCTCTTGGAAGGCTCTTGGGGCGTCTTGGAGGCCTCTTGGGCTGTCTTGGGGGCCTTTTGGGCCGTCTTGGGGTCATCTTCGGCGTCTTCGAGCGCTCTTTGGGCGTCTCGGGGGCCTCTTGGGCAGTCTTGGGGGCCTCTTGGGGCACTCTGAGCGCGCTCTGGGGAGCCTGAGAGGCCGCACCCAGAAGGAAAACCATCTCTGAGTAGACTTGGTCGGCGGCGGCGGCGGCGACCGGGCGTTGGTCGGGGTACTTTTCGCCGGGGGACCCCCAGGGGCCGCCCCGCGCGCGCGAACTAGAAATACTGTTAATACTGTTAACCAGTTACCGGAGATCTTAGCACGCCCTGGCCCGTTGGGCCGGCGAATTCCGCGTCGCGATGCACGCCACCCCCCCCCGTCCCCAGCGCCCCGGTTGGACCCCCGCCCCGTGGCCATCTGCCCCAAGCCCCGCCCAGTGCCCCCTCCGCCCCGACCATTTAAATTCCGCGTCGCGACGCACACCACCCTCCCCAATCTCCACCCCGCGCCCCCAGCGCCCCAGTAGGAGCCCAGCCCAGTCACCGCGCCCCCAGCGCTCCAGTAGGAGCCCCGCCCACAGCCCCCTCCGCCACGAACGTTTTCTTCCGCGTCGCACGGCCCCCACCGCCCCGCCCCCACAATCGTTCTCCCCTCCCCGCGCGCCCAGTGCACCCCGCCCCCCCTCCGTTCCGACCAGTTTATTTCTGCGTCGCACCGCCCCCGCCGCCCCGCCCCCCCGAGACTTCTCCGATTTCTCGCCCCCTCTCTCCCCCCCCCCTTTCCTCCTCCTCCTCCTCCTTCTCCTCTTTTTTGTTCCTCCTCCTCCTACTCCTCCTCTTCCTCCTCCTCCTCCTCCTCCTCCTCTTCCTCCTTCCCCCTACGTTTTGTGCAAGAGCCATGGCACGCGTGCCACTTGTTTAGCCCCAAATGGGCCAGCACCCCGTAGTAGGACAATCCCGCTGGCCATCCCGCTGGCCGTAGTAGGTTTTTCCTAGAAAAGAGCCCTGCATCCGCGCCTTCCCCGGGACAAACATGACGTCGGATGAGCAGCAGGAGCAGATGGAAGAAGAACAGAAGGAGTCTGATTTCGTTGGCCGTGATACCCGACGAAGTGGACTGGTCACGTCTTCCCGCCCGAGCACATCACTGATATTGCCAACGGTATCGACGCGCTGGGTCGGCTGTCGAGTTGCGATGCTGTGCTGTCAGGACACTGGGCGAGGAAGCGTGCGCGTGCGGACGCCAGTGCACGGTCCTGTCGCCTTTCAGGGGCGAGGGGCGGCGTGCGAAGCTGCAGGCGATGTGTCCTATGCCTTGCTTATGCAGTTCCTTCTCCTTTTCCTCCTCCTCCCCCCTCCGCTACTTCCCAGGATACCTGGGCTCCGAAGCGCAGGGCTCTGCCGTGCTGGAGGTCGTGCGCCGCGTCAAGGAGCAAAACAAAGCGGCGCTGTACTGCTGCGACCCCGTCATGGGCCACCCCGAGAAGGGGTGCATCGTTGCGCCTGGCGTGGCCGAGTTCTTCGCGCGAGAGGTGGGGGCGGGGAGGGGGATGGAATGGAGGAGGAGGAGGAGGAGGAGGAGGAGGAGGAGGAGGAGGAGGAGGACCCTGGATGATGTGTGTGATGTCCGATCATATCACCACTTATATCATCATGCACCGCTAACACATCGGCTCAGGTATCGGTATGCATGCCACGCTGCTCTCCGCGCAGCGCCCTGGAAAAGGAGTAGCTCACCTCTTCCTCTCTAACCTTCACCCACGGACATACGTATAGGATCGACTCCTCGGTCGTATCCCTTTACACAGGTTCTCAGCCTATTATGTTACGTTGTTCGCCGCTGCGATTCGCGTCGTCGTTGACCCCGCCGCACGGTTCTGCACCCGTCGGGGAGCAGTGTCTCTATGCGTGCGGCGTCCTCGACGGCGCGCGATCGCGGCGACATTACGGAGAGGACGAGAGAATCCGTGATACCCACATCCCCCATCTTAGGAGAAGGTAGAACCGCCTCGCTCGCGGCTGTTTTTGGCGAGCGTCTGTCAGACTCTCCGCTGCAGCCCCCCGCGCGCGTTCACACGCCTAGGAACTCATATTGCCCCGGCGCCCGATACGTCCACTGCAACCTTCCCTGGCGCCGCCTTTGTTTCCGCATGTTGGTGGGGACACTTGCAGTAGGCCTCGGAGTCACCGCTGGATTCGCCGCACCCCCGTGCTCTTCTCCAACCTTCGCTGATGAACGTTGCGCCGGCGGGAACACCCGCAGCGGCGGCGCCAGTGAAACGTATCCAAACAACGCGTTCGCGCGCCCCCGCCGCTGGGCTAAGTTTACATCACCCATTAACGCGTCTGTATCCGAGCATGTGCGTGTCATCGAGAACCGCACAGGACGGACATTTCAGCGAAGGCTTCCAGAACGGTATCACGTTCGCTCCTCCATTCGGGACAACAGCCGCAGCCCTTCCCAGAGGTGCTCACGGCACAGTTTCCTACCACGGAAAGAGCGTGTTCTACCGCTGCTGGCGGAAAACCGGGGGGGGTCACTACCGGTTCGAACCCCTCCCCCCCCCCCCCTCTCCGGAAAACCGGGGGGGGGCGCTACCGGTTCGGACCCCTCCCCCCCCACCTTCATCATGAAAGGGGGGGGGGGTCCTTACCGGTTCGAACCCCCCCCCCCCCTCCCCCTCGAAAGCCGGGGAGGGTCACTACCGGTTCGAACCCCCCCCGTCGAAAACCGAGAGGGGGGGGCGGACAGTGGTGGGGACGGCGGTGATGGGGACAGTGGCGAGGGGACAGCGGGACAGTGGTTGGGACAGTGGGACAGTGGTGGGGACGGTAGTGGTGGGGACAGTGGTGAGGACAATGGAGGGAACAGTAGGGACAGTGGACAGTGGTGGGGACGGTGGTGGTGGGGACAGTGGTGTGGGGACAGTGGGAATGAGGTGGAAACAGTGGGACAGTGGAGGGTACAGTGGTGGGGACAGTGGTGAAGGCGGTGGCGAGGACGGCGGTGGGACAATGGGACAGAGGTACAGTGGGGACAGTGGTGCGGACAGTGGGGACAGTGGTGGGAACAGTGGGACAGCTTACTGGGACAGCGGAGGAGTCAGTGGGACAGTGGGGATAGTCGGGCAGTGGTTGGGGCCGTGGAGAAAGTGGGGGGGAGTGGAACCCTGGTGGGAACAGTGGCGGGGACAGTGGGGACAGTGCGACAGTGGTGGGGGGCACTGGTGGGGAGAGTAGGGACGGTGGTGGAGCCAGTGGGGACAGTGGTGGTGAGGACAGTGGTACTGGGAACAACAGTGGGGGATGTGGTGCGGACGGTGGTAAGGACCGGGAGTCGTTTGCTGGCGGTGAGCGGGGGGTGGGGTGGGGAGGGGTTCGAACCGGTAGTGACCCCCCCTCTGGTTTTCCAAGGGGGGGGGGTTCGAACCGGTAGTGACCCCCTTCGGTTTTCGAGGGGGAAGGGGGGGGTTAGGGGAGGGGCGGGGCTTTGCTTGGGGAGGAGGTGTGGGGGGGGGAGGGGTTCCAGCAGGGGGGGGGGATTTTCGGAGGGGGGGGGGACCCCCGGGCTCCGGAGGAAAAGTGCGGCAATTTTCCGCAGTAGAGCGGCGGTGGATCACGCTCTCTCCTACCACGCGACATGGTATCGCGTGCCTCTCCAACCGCCACTGAGATGGCTGAGCTCCGAGACCAGGTTGAAATTTACACGACCCGACAGTTGTTACACGACCCGACAGTTGTCGGGTCTGGCCGCACAGACGGCCACCTTCAGACAGGAGTTTCATCAAGCTTTTGCTTTGGTCGACTCAGGTCCAGTATCAAGTTGACCAGATGGAGTCACGCCGAGGTTCCGATTCCAGCACAATCCAGACGTTCCACGGTTACTTCCTCTGGATGGAGGCCCAACATGTGAGCGTCAGAAACACCAGCACTGCCGTCATCAGGACGCTTCACGATGAGCTCCTGACGGCCCGACAGATCCCGCTATGGAGGTGCATGGACCCACGAATCAATAACTATTTGAGGGCATCAACACACTTCGTACCCAGGTTGAGATGACCAGTGCAACACGACAATTTCAACATACCACACGCACGTCTGAATTGCACGGCAAGTTACGTGGTGTTGAGATGGCCCTCGCTGAACGTCTTGACGCTTCTGATGGACGTGCGCCAAACCTTGAAAAACGATCATCCACGGTCGAGCAGTAGTTCAATGAAACAAAGACTGCACTGGCTGAGTTGCGCGTTGTACGGGCCAAGAGTGATCAGCTGGGCACCCCGACTTCGGTTTACGATTTCGGACCCCTCGAAGCCCGATTGGCCGAGGTACGGATGGTTGCGGACCACACGCAGTTACGACTCACCCAGATCTCTTGCGAAAGAGGCCGAAACGAAGGCACGGGCTGAGGAAACACTCGCCCGGTTGGAACAAGAGCGCGAAGCACACCAACGACGAACCCAGGACTTAGAGCATCGACTGGACCAGTACTCCCAGCGAACCCACGACACTAACGGTGAGATCCGTGGCATACGACAGAGTGTTCACAAGATGCACATCACGACCAAGGAAGTTACACTGACAGCCCAAGTGAGCAACAATCAGATCCACCATCCGACCCCGCCTCTTGACCATCGAAATGACATAGTTCCACACATGCCGATGGTGACATCCGCACAAGACCCACGCGACGTACCTCACCAGGTGCCGCTTCTGCAGGGGCTTCCACACAGACACGTCACGTTTCCCTTGCGCGACCACCATCACCATCCCAACCAGTTCCATCACAGACTTTGCCACATCTCCCGTTCATTGGTACCATACCAATCAAGGAAACAGACACCGCACGCGCACCACAGCTTCCACGCACTACACAATCACAGGAGTGGCAACACATGGTTCGCAACAACTGTGGTAGCGTTTCCGGGCCCCCTGCCAAGGTCTATGCACTCCCACGCATCGCTGAACACCCAACCACCACCTACGAGGACCTCCAGAGCAGCGGCGACTTCGAAAGCATCGACTGCAAACTCGCTGCTGGACCCACGGCAGTCCTCAATACTGAGCTCCAGTACCGCATCAAGAACCTCACAGCCCAGAAGCACAAAGCTGGCCGCATGGTAAAAAGGTAGGCAGGTGTACTGGACGGACGATACTACAACCCTACAAAGTCATTGCGGTCGACGACCCGACGCATGACTCTGAACGTGTACAACTGATACGCATGCGGGGCGATGACTTACACCGGCTTATTGTGGACTGGGACAACCTATTGTTGGAATGCCGCGAACCACCCGATACGATGATTGTCGAGTCGTTATTCCGAGCTCTGATCCGCCGACACCGCTTGACGAAGCCGGAGATTCACGACTATAACAAGATGACAAAAAACGACCCCAATGGAACATGCGAGTGGTTTCGAAAACGTGTTCTCGCCAACCTTGAATTACACCAACTCGAACGCAATCAGCACCACCTCAAAAACGAATCGATTCGCCATGCTTCCGTTATATGTGCAGCGTTTACGTCTGGACGGTGCAAAGACGGAGAAAGATGCAAGATGTTGCACACTGGATCCAGCTGCCGTTCCACACGACGTCCCCCACCATGATCTTCGACCCGCGGCAGAGACGCCCGCGACAAACGACCCTCCACTGGCTGGTCCTCCAGCCCACCACCGAAGGACAAGGCCAAACAGGACTTTTGCTTCGCCTTCGCGAAACACGGCCCGTGCCCTGCCCACTAGAAGATTTTTCCAAACGCCCGCACATTCCCAAATGCACTTCCCATGCGGACCCGAAACTAACATGCAAGCGTAGAAACAGCCGCAGAAATGCGCACATCGACCTTGGCGCAAGGACTCCCGAGAGGAGCCCCAGTCGGTCTTTCAGCCAAGACAGCCGCCACAGGACACCCTCCCCACGACAAGAGGGGGGCCGCGAACCTACACCCTATGAGGGACGGCAGAGCTCACGCAGTCCGGGGGGCACGCGTTGGTCACGACGAGGGCCACCGTCTTTTGGGCGCGGGGGGCGATTTGACTCACGTGGTCCGGGGGGTAGTGGGTGGTCACCCTGCTCCCCACAGCGTTCTCGACCTGGTCGTACACCTTCCGCCAGTCGAGTGCGGCCCCAGCGACTTCCTCTGACAGCGCGTCGGCGGCCTCCAATTCGAGGGCTAGCTCCCAAGCCTGCTCTTCGGCACCACGCCGCCAGGCATCGCCCTCCCAGCTGCACCGCCATTTGGCAAAATCCACGCGCGACTGGCAGTCCAGATGCGACAAAGGACTGGGAGCAGCCAAATCGGCAGGTTTCGGCAGCAGCGGCCCTTTTTCCTCCTCCAGCTCCCGCGGCCAACCGCCCGCCGCTTCCACCGCCTCGAACAGCTGGGCGATCCAGGTGCACAGCTCCGCTGGCAGCAGCCTGAGCTCGGAGACCGTCCACGCGTCGAGGCCAGGCTTCTTCCGCTCCGGCATCTTCTGCAATAGCCAGCTCACAGAATCCCCTGTCCAGGGAGTCCTGTCTGGGAAGGGCGGCAGCCCGTCCAGCTCCTGCTGCCATACTTCCTGCACTGTTGCCGCAGTTGGCTGCTGCCAGAGAGCGCGCCAGGGGCCCTCGAAGTAGCGCAGCCGCGCGGCGGGGCCGCCCTGCAGGGCAAGTGCCCAGGCCCTGTGGCCTAGGACTGGCGCTGGCGCCGCTGCAGCCCCGGCAGCGGGGGGCGCCGGCACGAGCTCGGCCTCCAGCGTCCCGCCCCCGCGGATCCAGCGGTACAGCGTCCTTCCCACACCGTCCTCACCACACCGTCCTCCTGTCCTCGTGCGCATCCCCGCATGCAGGAATTGGTCGCACAGCGTGCGCCACATAGCTTGCACCGCATAGCTTGCACATGGATTACACCACACAGCTTGCACCGCATAGCTTGCACCACCTAGCTTGCAAAACGTAGCCTGCACCACATCGCTTGGATTCACTTGTCCTCCACCTTTCATTCCGCCACACATGTCGCCAACTGGAGGGATCACGCGGCGGCGACGAGCGCAGGCTACGCGCGATCCCTGCGAGGTGATCCCCCTGACGATGTTTCGCTTGGTGCACGTCAGTTGCAATGCAGCTTCTGCATTCAACCTTACAACACTCAGCTTAGACCAGAGGTTGCGCCGCATAGTTAGCACACAAAGCTAATGGCATGCATAATATAGCTTGCACTGCAAAGCTTAATTACAACGAAGGCCTACACACATAGTTTATACCACGCAGTGGAACTCGCACGAGCGAAGCTCGCGCGGACGGAACTCGCACGGGTTGGAACTCGCACGGGCGGAATTTGCACAGGCGGAATTCGCACCAACGAAACCCACACGGCACAATTCGCGCGAGCGTAATTCGCACGCGCGGAATTCGCACGTGGCGGAATTCGCACGGCGGAATTCGTAGGAGCGCAACTCGTGCGAGCGGAACTCGCGCACGGCAGAGCATCGAGCGCGTTCGACACACATGAGTGCGTGTTCTGCTTCGTCCGAGTTCCGCTCGTGCGAGTTCTGTCCGCGCGAGTCCCGCCTCGTGCGAGTTCCGCTTCGTGCGAGTTGCGCGCGTGCGAGTTCTGCGCGTGCGAGATCCGCCTCCTCCTTGGGTTCCTCTTGGGAGCCTCTCTTGGCCCCCTTGGGGCCACCTGAGCTTTCTGGGGGCCGTCTCGGGGCCCTCTTGGGTAGTTGGGCGCCTCTTGGGCCATCTTGGGCCCGTTTTTGGGCAGTCTTGGGCCCTCGTTGGGGCCTCTTGGGCAGTCTTGGGGACGTCGTGGTGGCCGCTCGAAACGTCTTACGTCGGAAGCTCGAAAAGGTGAGAAGCCGAAAAACACTTAACAAACGATGGGAAACCAATGAAGTTTGCCTGTCGAGGCCCTCTTGCCGAGGAGATTGGGTGCGACTACCGGGCCTTTCAAATTGTTATGCACAACCCTGTCGTATGCTTCAATTGATTGGAGGAATTAGCCTAAAATATACGGCAGTTGTTTGGTAAGCAAGCTATTATTATCAACGGACTCGTTGTGAGTGGTGACGAGGACGAACGCAGACAATGCATTCCATGCCAGATGTGTCCGGTGAATACTGGGGACACCATGCCTTTTTGTATCCCGAACTAGAAATGCAGATGTGCACCAGCGAGTTGGTACAGTGGACTTGCCCCAGACATCATTTTCAAGGAAAATCAAACTTTAAAAGAAAATTGCTTCCCCTGGCGAGGATTCGTCGGTTTGTCGAGTGCTCTGCAACGCGGATGGCACGCCAAAGAATTTGGTCTTCCATCACAAATTCGACCAGCCCCGCCAGCAGTGGACCAGAGAAGTACGTAAGTTGACGCAGCATTTGTGATATCACAGTCGGGCGCGCCATTCTTTGGTTCACAGGCGTGATGCGTTCCGTTTTTTCGTCTCTGTTTCGTATTTCTTGAAGAGTTACCAATCGCGCACTCTTCTGCCCATGCGTCCTTCAGGATGCTCGGTTCTGCTGTTGTTGCAGGCCCTCTTAGGACGGCTTGTGGGGTTCTCGTGGGACGCCTCGACAGCCTCGTGGGCCGTTTTGAAGACATCTTGGGCCGCCTTCAGGCCAAAGTGGCTAGTCTTGGAGCCATGTTGGGCAGTGTGGGAGGCATCTGGCCCTCAGGAGCGCGAGTACGCTGCATTTTGCGAGAGGGTGCAGCTTCGGGGCGAGAGGGGCGGCGCATGCGCCTGGGCGCGGCCCGAGGGGAGGGGGGCGCCTTGGAGGATGATAGAAACCCTACCAGGCAGCACCCGGCATTATAGCACGACCCCCCGTGACGGGGGCACGGTGGCGAAGTTGTACGCTTGGGGGGGAGGGGAAGCCGCCTCCACGCCGCTGCTAGCATCAGCAGGCACCAGCAGCGGCGCAGGTCAGACGGACGACGACAACTACAACGACGACGACGACGACGACGACAAGAGCAGAAGGAGGAGGAGGAGGAGGAGTTGGAGGGGCAGGCGGTGGCCGCCGCAGACATCATCTGCCCGAACACGCTGGAGCTTGCGCTGCTGACGGGGCGGGCAGGCCCGTGGCTGGTCGGCCACCCCAGGGGCGGCCCGTGGGTAGGGGAACGAAGGATGACATCAACATAAAAACTCGGAGGTCCGCGCCGATTTCTCGGATCCGCGCTGGGACCCCCTTGGCGGCGCCTCCGGCGCCGCCTCTGGCGCGCTCCGCTCGCCAGGGAGGGGGGTCCAACGCGGATCCGAGAAATCGGCGCGGACCTCCGAGTTGTTACATCTATGTCATCCTTCGTTCTTCTGAAGGGGGGCCCAGGGAAGCGCCAGACGGACACTCGCAGAGGCCAGCGACCGACCCAGATCCGCTGCTTCGTGGCCACTTTCGCTACTCCCTGGGCCCTGGAGGGTCTGTCGGGGCGGGTTGTCGGAGGCTTCCGAAGGTCGTCGGAAACTCCCCATACGCCCCCGGAGGCTTCCGTGGGCTGAGAAGGTCACAAGCACAACTCTTCCTCCTCCTCCTCCTCGTCCTCCTCCTCCTCCTCCTCCTCCTCCTCCTCCTCCTCCTCCTCTTCCTCCTTTTCCTCTTCCGTTGCCATTTTGGTTCAAGACTCCAGGTTCCTTGGGGACCAAGTGGAGACCTCGGATCCGAGGCTATTCCACAGGATCTTGCAAACTCAGGGCTTCGCGAGGCCCAGAGTCCTCGTTTTCTCTCCGGGCCGTGGGCACGGCTCCCAGCACTTCGCCCGCGATGCCGGCTGCAGAGCCCGACGAAGAGGAATCGGATACCTTCGACGATGAGCTGTCCCAGCGAATGCCTGTATCGGCGCTAGAGAGGATGGCCAAGGCGATGAAGGAAAACGCGGCGGTCAACAAAACAATTATGCTAACGGAATTCCCCACATAAAGATATTAACGGTCTCGTGGGACCCATGGGGTACGACAACATCAACACGAAGGAGAAGCTGGAGAGGTGGGGGCCTCCCTGGGGAGGTGGGAGGGGCACGAAACCATGTAAATAGTATGGTATTCCGATACCCTCCTCGCTCAGGCGGGGCCTCCCTGGAGGGGTGGGAGGGGCACGAAACCATGTAAATAGTATGGTATTCCGATACCCTCCTCGCTCAGGCGGGGCCTCCCTGGAGGGGTGGGAGGGGCACGAAACCATGTAAATAGTATGGTATTCCGATACCCTCCTCGCTCAGGCGGGGCCTCCCTGGAGGGGTGGGAGGGGCACGAAACCATGTAAATAGTATGGTATTCCGATACCCTCCTCGCTCAGGCGGGGCCTCCCTGGAGGGGTGGGAGGGGCACGAAACCATGTAAATAGTATGGTATTCCGATACCCTCCTCGCTCAGGCGGGGCCTCCCTGGAGGGGTGGGAGGGGCACGAAACCATGTAAATAGTATGGTATTCCGATACCCTCCTCGCTCAGGCGGGGCCTCCCTGGAGGGGTGGGAGGGGCACGAAACCATGTAAATAGTATGGTATTCCGATACCCTCCTCGCTCAGGCGGGGCCTCCCTGGAGGGGTGGGAGGGGCACGAAACCATGTAAATAGTATGGTATTCCGATACCCTCCTCGCTCAGGCGGGGCCTCCCTGGAGGGGTGGGAGGGGCACGAAACCATGTAAATAGTATGGTATTCCGATACCCTCCTCGCTCAGGCGGGGCCTCCCTGGAGGGGTGGGAGGGGCACGAAACCATGTAAATAGTATGGTATTCCGATACCCTCCTCGCTCAGGCGGGGCCTCCCTGGAGGGGTGGGAGGGGCACGAAACCATGTAAATAGTATGGTATTCCGATACCCTCCTCGCTCAGGCGGGGCCTCCCTGGAGGGGTGGGAGGGGCACGAAACCATGTAAATAGTATGGTATTCCGATACCCTCCTCGCTCAGGCGGGGCCTCCCTGGAGGGGTGGGAGGGGCACGAAACCATGTAAATATATGGTAGGTATGGTATGGTACTGGTATGGTATGGTACTGGAGGTATGGTATGGTATGGTACGGTGTGGCATTGGTGTGATATGGTATGGTATGCTATGGTACGCCATGGTATGGTATGGTACGGTATGGTACGTATGGTGTATGGTATGGTGGTATGGTATGGTATGGTATGTGTGATAGGAACTATGGTATGGTATGGTGTGTGTGGTAGGAATAATATTGTGCTGTATGGAAGATGGAGCGGGAGATGGGTGGGAAGGAGAGGGTGTTCTGGGAAAACAAGAACCCCACTCAGGATGTGGGGAATAAGGGAGAATATGAGCCTGCTGACGTCCAACCACCAGAACGTGATAAACGAGATCATGAAGATCGGTGTCCTTGAGGCAAGGGCCATCAGCATCGAGTCGGCGCTGTCGAAGATGCCGCAGCGGTCGAGTCAAGGTGACGTCACGATGCGTAGTCAGTTCGCAACGTTCGCCCGGAGCATCAAAAGGGACATGGACACCATGAGGGCCGAGGTCAAGGTGGCCCGCACAGTAGCATCAGTGGGGTCGGCTGGCAACGCGCCCCGCCCAGCCAAGATATCTCGAGCCTCGAGTTCCGCGCCTGCGCCGAGAATTGCCGTAGATGGTGAGCCTGATGATTGCAGGGGGTGGATCAGTGGATTTCCTCGCCCGCTGCTGGCTGCTGCGAGGGTGGCCCATTTTGAGCATTCGAAGAAGCACGTGGGTCCGCACATGTCAACGCCAAGTTCGCGAGGGCCAGCCAGAGCTACAGCGTGCACTTCGAAGCAGAGGTCCAGGAAAGAGAGACTCACGATTTCATGACGGATCATCCCAGGCGATGGCGCGATGCACGTGTCCAGTCGTTGCAAGACGTGCCAGCGAGAGCAGATCTGCCATGTGATGTTCGAAGCCGACAGCGAAGGAGCTGCTGATGAATAAGGGAGTCTGGTCGCAATCGGCCAAGATGGGTGCGACTGGCTTCAGAAATTAGTTCTACATCATCGAAGATGACGACATTTGGATATTGCGCCCGTGGCTCGATCGACCCGCTGATGAGAATGACGCGCGAGGCCACTGGATCTAAAGCAGTTCAACATAGAGCAGTCCCACATTGACCGAATGTTGCGGCTGCTGAATGAGTGGGAGCGCACGCGAACAGGAAATGCCCAGAATTCACATGGTGCAAGAAGTCGAGATCTTGATGGGCATTGTGGTGATTGGGAATTGTGTCTACGTTCCTCCTCCTCCTCCTCTCCAGTTTCGTAGGATTCTACTTCCTCTGGCAGCATCTGCATGTCCGAAGATGATGGGTCCTCGGGAGATGGGTCGGCCGGTGGTTTTGAGGACGAGTCCATGTATCCCTTCCGCCACCGGGCACAGGACTTGCTCGCATGGAGCGCGCTAGCCACCGACATGGGCAGCGCTAAACACTGCGCCGCCATCATCCTCAACCTCGGCGGGGCCGCCCGCGAGCTCGCGCGGCCCACGGGCCTCGCGGAGGTGACAGGAGGAGGCGTGGTCAACGGCCAGCTCGAGGACGCCGCGCCCTAGCGAATCGCGAACCTCACCACGCAGTCGAGCCCACTCGGCGAGGAGTCGTGCATCGAGGCAACCCACGAATTATGTCAGTTCTCGGGCCGACGCAGCCAGACCACCGACGCGCTGCTCGCGCGGATTTTCGCGCTCCGGTTTTCGAGCTACGCACGGCGGGGGAGCTGCGATGTTTCGCGGCGGCTACAGCCAGCTGCTCCTCCGAGCGGTCGGCACCACAGCTAGCCAACTCACGGCGCCGCCCCAGCCACGCGGCGCCCGATACCCAGCCAGAGAAGCCGACCTTAGGCGTTTCCAACTATGCTCAGGCGCTTGGGGTCACACTGTGGAGCACGCACCAACCAACGTCGCCAGCGCACTTCGCGCGCCGCTATCGTTCGGAGGATTCGCGGGCATTACCAATGACAACAGCAATGACACACATGGCCCCCGGCACGCTCAAGGTCACGGCCCTTGGGCTGCCAGCGCCGCCGAGCTTCCCGACGCAGGAGGTGCCATGGCGCGCGCTACAGCCCCGTTGCTGAATACCATTCCATCGCAAGCAGCCTATCCGGCCACCGCGGAGGCGCCCGCGCACGGGGCCGATATCGACAGCGGGACCTCCTCAAGCGACGCATGCCAGGACCCAGGCGGAAAGGTCGACCGCCGAGCGCCCGAGCTCCGAGGTCTCAGCCTTGCCCAAGCAGGCAGCGGCGCAGACGCATGCAGCGCCCCACTCGCCAGGCACGCAGGTTCATCAAGAAGAACGACGGCACCATCCCCGGGGAAGGCAAAGGCAGAGGCGCGGGCTTCCAGAAGCACGCGTTCCTCATGGAGCCCCCCGACACCCATGTAGATCGGCTTTTCTTCGGCGGAAAGGGACAGGACAAAGGCGGGCGCTCGGCGGGCATAGAAAAGGGCAGACGCCGCAATCCGCAAGGCTATGGGCGCGCCCGTCGCGACGCGCAGCATCTGCGGGAGCGAGCACCATTTCCGCGCTGAGTGCCAGCGAGGCACCGCATCATCACCGCAGGGCAGCGGCAATAGCGACCGGTTCGGGGGCCACGCAGACCCCGGACCCATCGGCCATAGACGGCGCCCTTGACCCCGGCTTTCTTGCCGGGATCTCGGAAGTTGTCTTCGCGACCACGGAGGGCCCCCATCATCCGCAGCCAAGCCGCAACACCACGCGTTAGCGCAGCCATCCGCCGACGGCTCCTGGCAGATGCTGAATCATTCTTCGGGGCGCGGTCAGTCTCGCTCGCCGCGGCCCAGATCCCCGCGTGCACCGACGCGCCAGACGTCCTGCCACCACTTCCGATGTTAACATTGCATCGCGAACTTCAGGATCAACCCAACGCCCGGTGCCGCCGCCGCCCCCTGGCACGGCCACCGCCGCCACGGAGCTGGCAGAGGCTGCCGACGAAGCTTGCTTTCCTGTCAACGAACCACGGAGGATTGCAGCTCTATGGCGCCCTGGCCAGATGATCAGCGCATCACCGTATTTCGCATCGGCGGCCCTGGCCAGCGCGCGCGCTTACGACGGGGTCAGCCAGCGCAAGTCGCCCTGCCAGACGCGCGGCAACGCCGCTGATCCTGAAGCGCCGACCGCGGCCATCAGGAGCACCTTTGCATGCGACCTGGCCCCTGTGACCCCCATCTGGCTGTCATCCACGGCCATATTGGAAGCCAACCGCGACGCTCATATGGAAAGGCGGCGCGCTCACCGACGCGAGTTCGCCCGACAGACGATCGACATGTCCATGGCTGGACCTCCGACCGTCGCAACACCGCGGCTGCCATTGGACCTGCGCGCAGAGTCAGAACTCATTGGATGTGATGCCGACGCCGATGAGATGTGCGTCATCTGTATGAACCACTACACCAATTTGAATCTCGCCGCCACCCTTCAACGCGGCCATCGCTTCCATCGGAGCTGCGCCGACGCCCGGGCCGCCACTGGCTACAACGACGCCCAGATGAGAGCCGCAGAAGGAGCACGCCCCGCGGCGACCAGGCCCGAGCACCATTCTCACAGCGCCCGACATGTCGGCGACATATTGTAGCGCGCGGGATTACGCAAATCCACATTGAAACCACGCCCCGCGAAGCGCCCGATGAAGACGCGCCCTCTGGCGCCAACGGGGCCCTGATCACACCGCGAGACGCGTCGATCGGCGAGATCGCCTTCGGCGCCCCTGCGCCCGCCCGGGGACAGCCGTCACCTCGAGGCTCACCACAAGGCGGCGAAGCCGATGTGCTTCCCTGGTGGCCAGCCTCTGACCCAGCAAACGAGCGTGCCACCCGGGTGCATTACAGTCGCACAGAGCTCCCGTCGGGTGAGCTGAGCGCCATCGTGGACCCAGGTGCGTGGACCAACCTCATGGGTGACAAGCTCGCGCGCCCGCTGCGTCGCCGAGCCGTAGAGGCAAGGCACCAGCCGCAGCAGCTCCTCACGAGCAAGCCCTCGAGCACCCAAGGCGTTGGCAACGGGGCCCGCGAGCGCGCCCATCAGGCGAGCACCCCCCTCGCGGATAAACAAGGCAAGGCTACCACCCACAGCTTCGCAGCACCCATTGTCCGAGGATCAGGCAGCGACCTGCCTGGCCTGCTTGGCCCGTGCAGCATGAAGTCCATGCGCGCGGGCTTGGACATGGGCAAACGCGAGCTGGTCTTGCCCGTCGGCGGCGATGCCCAGATCCAATGGCCCGCAGGCACGGTTCGCACCCTACTGCAGAAGGCCCCGAGCGGACCTTTCGATGATCACCGACAACTTCGACGAGTGGGCAGTGCAAGCAGCAGGCGGCGCACCCGACCGCGGCGTTCATCGGCGCGCCCACACCTACGAGACGGAGACGGAGACGGAGGACACGGCAGCGGCCGCTGCCCGCCCCAGCCACGAGGCTGAGCAGCGGTCGAACTTCGGCACTCAATGAGCTGAGGCCCCTACGGGGGTCCTAGCCGGGCAACCAGCGTCGTGTGTCAAGCGCGTTCTAGTGCTAAGGCTCGCGCTTGCATGGTCTAGGGCCTAGGGTTCTTGGGCAGCAGGGATGGCAGATGCGAGCGCTCCGTCGTAGCGAGCCATATCTGTCCACTTTTCCGTTCGCCGTACGGAAGTCGCCCGACGCGAGTGCCAATTGGCTTAGATCCAGATGTTTCCCGGCCATATCTGACCAGGAAATAACTACACAATTACTAGTTACGTGCCGAACACGCGACATACCCTGTGATGCAGCTTAGTTGGCAAACAAGTTGAACCGCCCCATCGAAGTGGTCACGAATTCAGCAGCTGGCACGAAGTCATTCATTATCAGTCTCTGCCGGCTATGGCTCACACCGTAGCCCGACAACGAGTCGCCTGCCTTGGCGCACCGAGCATCATGGCACTGTGCGACGGGGCGCCCTCCTGGCATGGAAAGCACCTCAGTGATTTCCCAAGCAAAGCGTACCAAGCAAAAGCATTGTTCCAATTCCATCTACGACTGGTCACACATTGGTTTGGCCCGAGCTGGATCTTCTGTTCCAGCGGAATCAAGGATTGTAATTCCCACCAACACACCAGCTGCTCTGCTTGGCGAGAAGGCTTCGGCAGCTGCATCGAGCACTTAGCGCTCTCCACCACGGACTGCTCGCAGCCCGGTAATTTCGATTCAGACCGGATAGTTGACAGGTGCAGGAAGGTACGACGTTACAGAACCGCAGGACACATAAGACGATAAGTCTATCAAGGCACGAGAAGATGAAGGATTCAGAAGAAGCGACCAACAGTGCCACGGAATAAGATTACCCGATCTCCGACCTGAGTAAGAGCACCGTGGCACGAGTCCACGCGCGCGTTGATCCAGAAGTTCTTCACGGCGGACAAGACTTATTCCCTGGTCTCTCTGGCTTCGCGAGCAGATGAGACTACAACCCACGCCAACCCTCAACGCGAGCCAGGCAGTCTCGTCGTCAACGCCTCGAGCTGGAGTCAGCGGCCCACTGCACATGAGGTTTCGCCATGCGAATGGACAGACAGAGTCACTTTCCTCGCTGCCCAGATGCCCCCGTCTCTTGCTTCCCTTGCCGAGGAGGCAGATCGCGCGAAGGCGCGCAAGAAACAAGGCCATGCGCCAGTCAAAACCTCCAAGAAGGTAGAAGATGTTCGGCGACATCGACGACGACCTCTCTGGCCTTGGCACGGAGGAGTAGCTCAAGCGACTGTTCCAGGACACGGCCAATCAAGGCGCCAGCGAGCTCCAAGTCGGTGGGCACCCGGCGGAATCATACGCAGCAGGGACCAACGTTGGTCAGCGCGCCGCGCTCCCAGCGCCCACCTCCCAAGCCACAGACTCCGCGCGTGCCCGGGCAACGGTCCGCGCCTACGGAGCAGGGGCGGACCTGCGAGTGCTGCGCTGCGGCCAGGCCCG